CTGGACCCCAGGGAAAGGGAGAACCCCCCCCCCCCAGCATTCCCAAAGGAGGCTGCGGGAATTTAATTTAAAAAAAATGTTAGTGTGTGTGTGTCTGTTAGTGAGTGTGTGTGTGTCTGTTAGTGTGTGTGTGTGTCTGTTAGTGAGTGTGTGTGTCTGTTAGTGTGTGTGTGTCTGTCTGTTAGTGAGCGAGTGTGTATGTCTGTTAGCTAGTGTATGCGTGTCTGTCAGTGAATGTGTGTGTGTGTTTAGAAGATGGGGAAAGGCGGTGTGGTGTGGGGGGGGTGGGCGTCTGAGTTTTGTCATGTCTAGGGCAGCACAGAGCAGAGTAAGCGCGGGGGGGCCCACGGATCAATTTTCGTACCGGGGCCCCATGGATCTTGTGTACGCCACTGGTCCTCATCCCAGCCCCCACCGCCGCTTAGGGGTGGGGGCTGGGGGGGAGGACAAATGGTCCCCCCCTTATTCCTTTTTAGGTGGTAGGATGTGCTTCGGAAAGGCATAAGTCCGCCGTATGAGATGTAGAATTACATACAGCGCAAGACCGGGGCCTGAGACCAGCGAAGTGGCGACAGAATAATTATGTATCTGTCTGATACCAGTTAATTCTGACATTAAACTGTTTCAGATGGGTCGCCGCCTTCGCTGATACCGACTTATGATAATCGTAAAAAGAGGAGCGCCCGTACTTGATGCCTAAATCCACCACCATGGGGAGATAGAGGTCTAGCTCTTCTCTTCTGTGGGGATACACCGTGCAGATGACATCACGGTATATCCCGAAGGCTATCACAAACTGAGGGATGGATAGTTTCTTGTTAAGCCTAGGGTCTCTAGTCTTAAGCACAACTGAGATGTCCCCGTAATTGTATGCTTTGTTCTCTAGTACTTCTTGGGAGGCTATGAGCAGAGACACCAGACACACATCCTTCCCATCTAGGATTTCTTTACTGAGGGAGTCTGAGACGGAGTGAGCTGGTGACTCGAAAGGAGATATAGCTTTGGCTGGTGCTGTGGAGGGGAGTGTGGGGGGGGAATGGTGGTACAGCAGGGACTGCCGGGGTGGAGGCTGGGAGGCATGGGGTGTTACCTGGGGAGGCGATGGCGCTCTCCACCTTAGATAGCCTGCTATTCAAAGTCTGCAGGTTGGCCAAGATTGCTGTAATGGCTACCCAGCTAGAGTGAGGGTATCAGCCATTGGGGACATCCTTTTCTTCCCGGCAAGTCGCTGTGTAGTAATGGAGCTGCTTATTCCCCTCTGCTGGATCCGAAGTAGAAGTCAGGTACAGCTCTGAAAAGAGCTTAGTGATTATGCTGCAAAATTCCCCTTTCAAGAACGAGACAAGGCTACGTTTTGAAGGGTGAAGAAGAACTAAAGCTTTAATGACAGACACTCTCTTTTATGTGATTCTGCCCATGCAAGGGAGACACCCACATAATTAACAGTACAGCCAATAAACACAATATACATTCTGTACATCTCCTCCCCTTAGATAACCACATAACATAATTAAAAGAAACATATTTTTCCCCAAAGTTTGGATCTACCCAAAATACTTGAGTAATGTTTCTGGGCGACTAACATATTCGAATATCAGCTCATTCGGTTCAGCCGTTCGGGAGATATGGGACTTGAAAGTTTTGACCGACCGCACGGGCAAAGTAGCCGAAAACAGTTGCATGAATTCTGACCCTGCAGTCGGTCTTAGTTTGTGTGTAAAAAAGTTCCGAACGGCTGGCCATCCGTATGCCATCTTGGGTTCGCTGGAATCCCCATAAGTTGTCGAGTCTTTCTACCGAATGCCTTGTCGTTCGGTAGTTGTGGCATGATTTCCCAAAGGTATGGAGGTATCAGCGGTGTTCGCCTATCCGAGTGTCCGATTTTAGTTCCAGACACTCGACGGCAAAACACCACTGTTCGGGAGTTAAAATGGCCGCGGACACGTGGAAGTCCCGAAATGGCGGCCATGCATACGGTTTCTATAGCGTTTGTGCGTTTATTTCCACGAAAATGCCCATCAAGCAGGGAGGTAAATGAGTCTCAATTTAGAGTCAGGGTGGCCTGTTAGTTGTTAACAAGCATTCGCATGGAGAATGCTTGTAAAGTCTCGAACTGCACTTTAATCCACAAGTCTTTAATGAAACTGTCCTCTTTGTTACAATTGCTGTTAGGGTATCCTGAGTGGCCGTGCCAGCACTTGGTGGCTGTCCTTGAGAGCTAGTGCCTGGCCTAGGTTCAGGGGCTTGGTAGGTGAGCAGTCTGTAAAGTTCCGCCTTTCTAGCCGTAGCTGGAAAGGGGATTCCCCTGAGCCTAAGTCCATGC